GATACTTAAAGGAATCCATGATGTCCTTCATATAAGTTTTTCACTTCCTGTAGCAGCAAAATACCTCCATAAAAGACTGGTCCACCTCTAGACATACACCGCTGATCCAAAAAAGATCCAGTTTGGTCTCATTACTCCATAAAACATTCTTCCAGAATGCCACTGGTCTATCTAAATTCATTTTTGCATATTCAAATCACTCTTTATCCTCTTCTTGGTCAAGAGTAAGATGTCACTACATTATGCTTGTTTAGTTTTCTTCCAATACTGAAATGCTGTTTCCTCCTTTCATCGAGTCATCTTGCAAGTCTTTGGCAGTACATTGCAGGTTTTTCCTCAGTTGCACTGATCAAACATTTTATGATATTGTGCTTCTTCTTCAACACTCTCAAAGGTTTTCAACAAATTTTAAGCTTAGGAATAAGCAGCTCTGTCTCTAGGAACTTTTAGTGTCTTGGAAATCTTCATGAAGCCTTAGACTTTCTTATGTAATAAAATGATTTCTTCTTTGTAGCTTTTGTGACAGTTATGTTTACTTTGCCATAGTTGCTACCAGAGATGGGCACTCGAGTTAGTGACTCGGACTCGAGTCGTACTCGAGTCACATTTTTATAGACTTCAGACTTGACTCAGACTCGACCTGAAATGACTCCAGACTTGACTCGACTCGAGGAAAAGGACTCGTGAAAATTTTAAAAGCAACTCGAGTCTTTTATCCTTAAATACTTATATAACTGATATTCAAAAGGGGGACCGCGAGCCGTAGCACAGCACCATTTTAAGTGAACAGTGCGTCAAAACAGCAGAGCGGATCACATAACAAGCGCTCAAGGTGGTTTATGGTACATATCTTTCAGCGCTATATCCTCTAGAATTTTTATCAAAAGCCAAACGCGCTTTATTGCTCCATGTGCTTTCTCTCTCTCCGGACGCGTGCTGGTGCCAAGTTCAAGAGCTGAGGATGACGCGGTTATTTTAACAACAACAGAAACAACAAAACACAGCAGAAAACAACAATGGTACAAATATAGTTTTTAAAAAAAAATCTATTTATCTATCTATAACCTATGACTCTGACTGTTCAAACCAGATGTGACAAGACGTTTCTGATCTACATTTAGCATTATTAATCTGTAGGCTAAGAACATTTCAAAAGAATCATGTAATTATAATAGGGGAAAATTGTTGTTAGATGGCTAGGACAGAACTTAAACTTTGAAATTGCTAGTTATCTTTCTTTTCTGCTCAAGATGAGAACGTTTTGATTATTGTTGCTACATTGTTTTTAGATAATGCTTTTAAGTAGGCTAAAATATTAAAATAGTATAGATTTCAGGAGGAAAACCCTGAACAGAAACAGTATTTTTTTCTGTCACATGGCCTCGCATGTATCTAAATGTAAAAATGCAATACATGCAATAAGTTTTTTTGTTTGGACCTCTGCTTGGAAGAAAATATAGAGGCCGTGCCTTGGAACTTTAATTGAATACCCGACTTGTATAATAAATAAATACTTTATATGTATTGTTTTGTAATATCTGTGTCACATATTTCCTTGTGTGTCATGGTAGATCGGACTCTTATTATAGAATTTCATTACAGAAAAACTGTTTTGAACATGGTAATGGATTAAAACATAGCCTATAATTAACAGGCTGGATGTACAATAACCTTACATCTTAACACCTCTTTTTTTTTTTTTTACAAAGCAGATCATAGAATATATATTTTGTCTATAGCCTATAAAACAGCTTCGTAAATAGGAAGATTTCAATACATGAGGATTCTGAATGAGATTTTTTTAGCAAGCCATTAAATGACTTGAGACTCGACTCGGACTCGTGACCAAAGACTCGAGACTTGACTCAGACTCCAGCAATAAAGACTTCAGACTTGACTCCAGGTTAAAGACTTCAGACTTGACGTTAAAGACTTGTGAACATCTCTGGTTGCTACTTAACTTTAGCACATGCATGGGCTACGTTTATGCATGTGTAACAGTTCAAGCGAATTTATTTCTTTTATAAATTTATTACAGGTCTTGTGGAAATATGAAAATATATATAAAACACAAAATAAAAATAAATTTGACTGATTTCATAATTTGTTCACATATTTTTCAAAATTTCTATAGAAATACATTGCAATAACACTTTATTTTACACTTATGTTCTGTGTACATATCTACTTATTATTTACAATAACTGGGTAATAACTAAGTACTAATCCTGAACATACACCTAAACCTAACATTGACCATGTAGTTACCTTATATTACCCAGTACTTTCATATGTAAGTACACTGTGAGTACTTGTACAAAATGTAAAATAAAGTGCAACTAAAACTGCAATAATATTGTTGTCATGAATTCTTACAAATTAATATTGATATTGTGACATCCCTAAACTACATCCTGTCAAATCTGCGGGAGAGAGAGAAAAAAAAAACATTTCTATGTTTTACTATTTCTTAAATCCCTCCCTACTCAGGGGTGTCTAAACGTGTTCCTGGAGGGCCACTGTCCTGAAGAGTTTAGCCAGAGATTGTCTGACTATAGGGAGAGGAGAGGGTCTGTATTACTTACTATTGGAGAAGGTGTAACGGTCAACTTGGATCACGTGTGCCTTAATAACCTATCACATTACAGTCTTGACGTCATTGACTTTCAGTCAGTGTTGTGCGACACTCAATCACCATTTATGGTTACCATAGGAATAAATGATAAGTGCCGTTAACTGAATCCCACCAGTCGCAAAAATCAGTGACTTCTCTTGTAAAACATGTTGAAGATTAGCCGAATGATAAGCTGTTTCCTCTAAAAAGCTGTTTATTCAGCGTAGTGAAGCCTCTCCTCCATTGACATCCATTAAAAAAACGGCCTCTGGTCTCCTTTCCCACGTACCGCCAAAGCGGAAGCGTTATCATTAGCAATTATGCTTTTTTGGCTAAAGTTTGAAGGCTTGCCTTCCAGTGGCTTTGGTTTAGCTCTAACCCTAATTAAACACACCTGAACCAACTAATCAAGGTCTTCAGACTCACTAGAAACTTCTAGGCAAGCGAGTTGGAGCTATTGGACCTCAAGGAGCAGGACTGGACACCTCTGGTCTATGTTGAAGGTTGGTTGTGTTAGTTCCCTTGCGAGTTTCTCCTACAGTGCCAGTTTTTGTTTTTGGTTGATTTTTTTATATAGCAAATAAAAGATAGCTCATTATTAAATCTCTCCTGCGATGTGGCAATAACAATTTGTTTAAAGAATGGCAATAAAAGAATATACATTTATATATTATATGTGTGTTAAATAATATTCTTATTCTTTCCTTTTTTGTGAAGTGGTGGCATAGATAGAAAGCTACACGAGTTTACATTGTATTAGATGCCAGATGAAGTTTATTGTGGTACCAAAATACCAAACAGAAAAAAATTTATCATCAAGAATGGCTGGCTTTGTCTGGATATCTTTCTTGCAATTCACTGGTTTCGGAGAAAAGTAATGATATGTTATGATGAAGAGGTGCTCTGTGGATTTCAACTGCGATAACTAATGTGCCCACTCACAGAATTAACCACTTCTGTTTTTTTGTGTAATGCATTTCCCATTATGAATTATGACAGCTTGGATTGTTGGACCATTAGGTTAAATTGTCACTGCTCTAATGTATGATATTCTAACATAACAGAATGCATGTACAGGTACAGTGCCGCTTGAAAGTTTGTGAACCCTTTAGAATTTTCTCTATTTCTGCATAAATATGACACAAAACATAATAAAAGAAAGTATAAATAATAAAGAAGACAAAGAGAACTCAAACAAACAAGTGAGACAGAAATTTGTTCTTTGTCATTTATTTATTCAGGAAAATGATACAATATTACATATCTGTGAGTGGCAAAAGGATGTGAATCTCTAGGATTGGCAGTTAATTTGAAGAGAGTCCATCTGTTTTTCAGAGTTGTTTTCAATCAGTGAAATTGCTATCAGGTGTCAGTGTGTCCCCTGTTTTATTTAAAGAACAGGGATCTATCAAAGTCTGATCATGTTTGTGGAAGTGTATCATGGCATGAACAAAGGAGATCTCTGAGGACCTAAGAAAAAGAGTTGCTGTTGCTCATCAGGCTAGAAAAGATTACAAAAACAGCGCTAAAGAGTTTTGACTCCACAAATCCACAGTCAGACAGATTGTGTACAAATGGAGGAAATTCAAGACCACTGTTACCCTCCCCAGGAGTGATTGACCAACTAAGATCACGCCGAAAGCAAGACGTGTAATAGTCTGCAAGGTTGCAAATGAACCCAGGGTAACTTCTAAGCAACTAAAGACCTTTCTCACATTGGCTAATGTTAATGTTCATGAGTCCACCATTAGGAGAACACTGAACAACCATGTTGTGCAAAAAAGAACATTGCTGCCCATCTGCAGTTTGCTAAAGATCATGTGGACAAGCCAGAGGGCTACTGGTGAAAAGTTTTGTGGACACATGAGACCAAAATAGAACTTTCTGGTTTAAATGAGAAGCGTTATGTTTGAAGAAAAGAATACACTGAATTCCAGCATAAGAACCTTATCCCATCTGTGAAACATGGTGGTTGCTGGTATCATGGTTTGGGCCTGTTTTGCTGCATCTGGCCCAGGATGGATTGCCATCATTGATGGAACAATAAATTCTGAATTATACCAGCAAATTCTGAAGGAAAATGTTAGGACATCTGTCTGAGAACTGAATGTCAAGAGAAAGTGGGTCCTGCAGCAAGACAACGACCCCAAGCAAACAAGTCTTTCTACCAACGAATGGTTAAAGAAGAACAAAGTTAATGTTTTGGAATCAGAGTCTGGACCTTAATCCATTTGAAATTTTGTGGAAGGACCTGAAGCAAGCAGTTCATAGGAGGAAACCTTCCAACATCACAGAGTTGAAGTGGTTCTGTACTGAGGAATGGGCTAAAACTCCTTCAACATGTTGTGCAGAACTGATCAGCAGTTACAAGAAACATTATCTGCAGTTATTGTTGCAAAAGGGGGTTAGACCAGATACTGAAAGCAAAGATTCACATACTTTTGCCACTCACAGATATATAACACTGGATCATTTTTCTCAATAAATAAATGGCAAAGTATATATTTTTGTCTCCTTTGTTTGATTGGATTCTCTTTGTCTACTTTCAGGATTTGTGTGAATAAATCAGAACTAAAAACCACTGTTCAGTTGTATGATATTCTTACATAACAGAATGCATGTACAGGTATATGATTACAGAGTAAACCAAGGCTTCTTACCTGACTTCACAGGAATGGACACTTAGCTCTTTGTGCAGGAGGCCACTGGTCAAGTTGTACACCAGCACAGAGCCATTGCTTGTACCTAATGGGCAAACACGCAAAACACACAAATAAATGCTGCAATTGGCTAGTTAATATGACTGGATTATTATTTCAATCATCCTCGATAAATCATTATTATTCTTAATAATAATATTAATAATAAAAATAATAAGTTGTATTGATTTTGTTGTTGTTGTATTTCCTGTCAGCAGATCACAGTTTTAATTAAAATCACTTCATTATCATTTTCATACATTTTTTTTTGTCTTTTATTGCAAATACTAATCATCAACATCATAATCATTACAACAAAAAAAAAAGAAAAGAAAAGAAAAAAAAAGTAAACATCATCAGAAAACTCTAATGACACTGTTCATAAAACAGCCTGCTCAGACTGAACAGAACATCTTTCATCCCATCAGTGGAGGAAAGCAGGAGTCAGATCTGGCACTGAGAAGAGATATGAGTGAGAGCGAATGAGGAAGTCTATAAGAGGAAGTGAAGCGTTTCAGAGGGTTGAGTGATGGAGACAGAGCAGAGTCTGGGTGACAGTTTATGTTAAGGGTAGGTTTTTCTGTTAGCGTTCGTAGAAATGTGCTGATAAAATTAATCAATGAATCATGATTCTACTTATTATGGGACTGCAGTAATATTATCGATCCTTGCATGTTTATTAATGTGTTTTATTAAATTGTGACCATACATCAGCTGAATTCCATTGAAAACAATTGAACAAGCTGTGACCAGCAAGCAGCCGACACAGATGCAATGCACTGACTAGTAACAACACATTGACAAATCTGTGCAACCCTAAATTGAATTGTGATGCATTTCAAATTGAGGTTGTTGGTGATAGTCAGCCCTAAAATAGATATGTATGGTGGCCGAGAGAGCTTAAAATGCTGCCACTTAAGAAAATTTATGTAAATATAAAAAAACACCAGCAAATTAAGAAAACATTAGGGCTGGGTATCGATTCAGATGTCCCGATTCGATTCGATTTCGATTCGCAAGCTCTCGATTCGATTTGATTCTCGATTTTTTTATTATATTCAGTGAATATAGTTTTAATACAAATGCTATTGATATTTCAAAAAAATTAACAGTAAACATCAGTTTACAAATGGTGAATTGATAAAAATAAATTAAGCCACATGCCTGTATTTTAAACCTATACTTTTTTTTAAACTTTTTTAAACAATAATAGGGCCCTATAAAATTTTCTTAATTTTTCTGGTAATCAGATGAAGGCATAAAACATTAATTTAATTTATCCTAATCAAATGAAAATTAAACCCTTTTATTTTTTGGCAAACAAAGTGCTGCACAACAGAGGTTTACTGTTAAAATTAAAAAGAAAACAGATGTGATTATTCCTTTAAAAATAAAGATTTATTAATATTTATTAGCAGTAGTAGCATTGATTCTTAAGACTGCTAAATAGTAATATATTCTGACAGTTTCTTAACATTAAACTAAACTTTTATTTTGACGGGTTGCCGTGAAGAACTAGCAGCTGCTGTGTATGTGATATGACGATAGTTTTCTCAAATGAAACGGTAAAATGCTAAGCTGAAAACACCGCGAGCGTCATCCGCGCTTTAGTATGTGTAAACCTAGAAAACATCATCATCAGTTTGACAACACATGTGCTGCAAATACTCACATAGCAACCAGATACATACACGAGCTGCAAATACAGAGCAACCAATTACAGAAACTTGTTACAAATAGAACAGACCACAACAGAAATATTTAAAGGGAACCCCAAGAAGTTGCAAAAGTAAGCTACTTTTACGTCACTTCCTGTTTCTTGCTGCCGTGTGTGTTGAGTTTGAGCTCCGTCAAGTTAATTCTTTATCGTCTATTTTTTATCTTAAAATCAATTTTATGCACCATCATTTTCGTTTCTATAACGTGTGAAAATATGCCCTATCGTATTCTACAACAAAAACAATCATAGCGCCTTGTTATCACTAGTTCTATTTTGATTTCCCAAGTCTGCTATTAGCATATAGCCCGTTAGCATCACCAGCGTGGTTGCCGCTAATCTCGCTTACATTGCTAATACTCTATTCACACACATTACCATTGTTTTACTCACTATTACTTGCTTTAATGGCGGATGTGTGTCTACCTTTGAGTGCAGGTGAGGACACGTTCGAGCTGCATTCGGTGCAGCTCGAGCTGGAGGCCGTGGAGAAGCAGATCCGCGACCTGGTGGAGAAGCAGGCCCAGCTGAAAGAGCAGAGAGCCACGCTGGAAACATCCCGGGCTGACACTCACAAGTCCGGGGTAAGTATACAGTGCGCTGCTAACTCTCTCACCACCTCTACTCCATGTGTTTCTCTGCACAGGCCCGGTGCAACCAGGACGCGATCTTCCCAGATGTCCTTCACTCCGGCGCCGGGACATCACGGACCCTGGGTGCAGCCGCAGCGGAAGACGCGAGCCACTGTTTGATTATGTCTTTAATTGATTTTTCCGTACATTTCTGCCATATGTACATTAACTGACAGTCACCACTGATAAGCTACCACTAAATATTGTAGAAACTTAATTTGCTGTAAAGTTGCTTTGCAACGATTTGTATCGTAAAAAGCGCTATACAAATAAACTTGAATTGAATTGAATAAGATACCCAGATTGCATAACATTTCACAGTTAATTGCATATTTTGTCAGATTATTTAAACAAATAATAAACAAAAGGATAAGGAATCATACAATCAGGATTTTAAAATAAACAATTTCAGGTCATCGACAACACCACGAGTACACATTGAACAATAAGCATGTCCCAGGCCCAGTCAGGTTCATCACTTGATCAGGTCCCCTTGAAACATTTCCGTTGTGGTCTGTGCTATTTGCAACACGTTTCTGAATTTGGTTGCGTTGTGAGTTGCGTTGCAGCATTGCTGTCAAACTGATAAAGATGTTTTCTTAATTTGCTGGTGTATTATTCTATTTGCGAGAATTATTATTATTATTTTTTTCCCCATTGCAGTGCGTTGAGCTCTCTCGGCCACCGTAGATATGTTTACTATAACGTCCACAGAATCATTTGGCACAAAATAATGAGCTGGAAATACACAGGAAATACGTAGTAGGCACCACAGTGTCAGACTACATCCGTACAGGCTATTCATAGATAATTTTCCATCAATCAAAGAGTTTTATAAGACAAGCAAGAGTAATTTCAGATCTGAGTGCTTGAGACACAGGGCTCTACAGTGCGACCATTTCAGTCGCATTTGCGACTGAAAACTACTGTGTGCGACTATGAAATTTTTTTTAGGAGCACCAGTGCGACTGACCTGATCATCATCATTTGTGATTGCGCTCAGGGGGGCTTCAAAGGTTTCTATGTGTTTTTGCAGCGTTGAGTAATGTATCACAGACATATCTCACGAATCCTTTCATAAGCAAAGTGTAGACAGGGGAAGGTGCTCCTAAAATTTTGAAAGTGCTCCTAAATTTTTAAAGTTAGGAGCACAAGTGCTCCTAAAAAGAAAAGTTAGCGTAGAGCCCTGAGACAGCTTAATATTCACTTAATTTGTATCGGTGAAGACCAGGCTCTTGGTTTCAGTTCAAAGGCTCTTATGGATTGTATGTAGACTGAACTGACTGACACTGATACATCTAAAATTGTACAATTGTCTGGCTTCAAATGTCACACCAGCAGAGTCAGTCGCAGATGGAGTTTCTTTTCCTCTAGTACTAAATGACCACTCATCAAGATCGCTTCTTTGAAGTTTTGAGACGGTTAAAAAAAAAAAACGCTATTGGGAATAATTCAGCAAAAGTTCTTGTGCATTGAGGCAGAAAGAGAGTTTGAAGTTTATCATCCCTGAGGCACTCCTGAAAAACTGTGCTATAGAGTTACTTTAGAAAGGCATCCGTCAAGAGGAATTCACTTTAAAATGCTTGGTGTGCTTGCTCACAATGTATAGTGCATGTATAGTGCATTCAGGGAGCAACAAAATCTCATCAAGACTGCACCACTGCGTTGACTCCATTAATGAGATGACGAGTGGAGAAAATAACACCACCAATCACAGAGCTCAAATTACAATTTACAAGATTCATTGACTAAACCAGGTGAAACCTCATTTGGAACACATTGATATTTCTATAATGCAATATAACAGATCTTCACATACTTAGAAGGTCTTTAAACTGTAATATATTTTCCATATCTCTGTTACGGAGTAACAGATGTAACTCAATTAAAGCTCTATTTTTAGCCACAGCTAGTTCAAATCATACATTAGTCTACAAATTGTCAAAGTTTAATTTGTTTTGTAAATTATGCACTTGAATTTTTAATATCTGTGCAATTCTTTCAATCTTTGCAGAATCTTTAAGAAGGAATAACAGAACAGCTACAGTATGGCCTTGCTGGTTTGAAATGCTGTGATGAATGATATTTGCGTAAGATTTTATGATAGTTTTGTCATTTGAGCTCATATGATTTTGTTCTCTTGGCACATTCATTTCAGATTCAAAAAATGTGGTCTCACTTACAGAAAGACTATACATTACTTTTGGGAAAAAAACAAACTCACAATATGCGCATCTTAATACACAATGCTACACTGATTTTGAGAAGGAAACATCTATGACAAGGTCAGAATCAGAATCAGAATGAGCTTTATTGCCAGGTATGTTTACACATACGAGGAATTTGTTTTCGTGACAGAAGCTTCCACAGTGTAACAGAATGACAGTGACAGAACAAAAAAACACAGATAATAAAAAATAAAAATAAATAAAAAATAGAACAAGTAAAATAAGGAATAAAAAATATACAAATCGACAATTGTATGTACAGGTATATTATGTGCAAATTGAAAGTTGCACAACCAGGTTTTAAGTTTAAAGGGGCCATTCATTTTTCACATGGGTGAAAGGTGTTGGATAACTTTTTTTTTTTCTTCAGCGTAAGATATGTGTTTAAATTTCTCTGCTTATGCAAGGTGTGTGATATGTACCACCTACAATTATAATTGTACTTGTTTTAATGATGAATATGCTGACGTTGGATGGATTCTGTCACTCAATTTGCAAAAAAAAAAAAAAAAAACACCCTGATAGTCCGTCATTACCAATAGAGTTCAATGGAACTAACGACCATAGTTAGCCAACGATGCCACCTTTTGGGAAACTCACCCTTGTTTGGGACTAAAAATATATTTTTTTATTTATGTATTAATATTAATTTGAGTTTATAGAACTGGAAGCTTATAATAAATGCATGTAAATAAGCAGAGAAATTTAAACACATATCTTACGCTGAAGAAAAAAAAAAGTTATCCAACACCTATCACCCATGTGAAAAATGAATGGCCCCTTTAAACTTAAAACCTGGTTGTGCAACTTTTATCAGCAATAACTGCAACCAAATGCTGGAGATCAGTTATTCACAGCACTGTGGTCAAATTTTGGCCTCTTCTTTGCCAAATTGCTTTAGTTCAGCCACATTGGATTTTTGTGCATGAATTGGCCATTTAAGGTCCTGCCACAGCATCTTAATAGGGTTCAAGTCAGGACTCTGACTAGGCCTCTCCAAAACTTTATTATTTATTATAGACTGAAGACCAGATACTCTCCTTTAGGATTTTCTAGTAAGGTTAGCAGCGGTTTTCACCTCGCAACTACCTCCATGAATGCCATTTTTGGTCAGTATATTTCAAATAGTGGAGTCATGAACAGTGATCATTAGTGATGCAGCCTGCAGTTCCCCTTGGGTCTTTTGTGACTTCCCGAATTGCACTGTGCTCTTGGAGGAATTTTGGTGATAATGGAAATAATGGCTCTCACTGTAGTTCTTTAGAGTCCAAGAACCTTTGTAATCCTTCCCAGACTGATGTATTTAAATTTCCTTCTTTGTCATTATTTCTGGATTTTCCTTCAGCTTTCGCATATTGTGTTACTGGGTATGACCTTTTAACCAAATTCTTGCTGTTGAAAAGTTCTAGTTAAGTGTTGATTTAATTGAACAGGGCTGGCAGTAACCAGGCTTGGTTGCATCTAGTCCAGCTGAACCCCATTATGAATGCAGTGCACATTCATACATTTGGGAATTAGTAACTACAGGGGCAAATACATTTGTACACAGGCCCAGTTGGTAATAGATAACTGTTTTGTTTAATAAATAATATTATCATTTAAAACTGCATTTTGTGTTTACCCAACTTGCCTTTGTCTTATGTTAGATTTACATAAGCATGACAAATATGCAAAAAACAAAAAATCAGGATTTGGGAAAACACTTTTATTTAACTGTATTTTGATCTGGAATTGTCCGTTTTTGATGGGATTAAAATCCGTGGGCTAAAGACTGACTCATTAGGACAGTAAATAGAGACCACCTACTGATGGTACTGATAGTTTTAGTTTCATATTTAAAGTTCATTTAAAAAATAAAAAAAGAATTTCATATCGAAATATTCATTGAAAAAAAATATTAATTTGGAATTATTTATGCATTCATGCCACCTCTGAGCTACATTAAACAGTCTAAAATCATAGAAAATATTGTGATGCTATTTGTCAATATTGCACACCCCTAATCTATATATTCATAAAATGAATTGTCTTATTTTTCTGTCGAAATTAGTCTCTAAACATATAATTTAACTATACTATGAAAAAAATGTTTTTGAAGAGACTTTTTTCATAAGTCAACAACAATTTTGCAGCAAGCTTGAACTGTTTGGCACTATCCATTCATTTGTATTGAGACTGACTGTCATAAAACTCTAAAATGTTATGGTCTGGTCTTTGCATGTAAAGTACTCACCCACAGCCAATAAGGGCTGGTAGTGGTTGATGTTCTTGGTGGTAAGTGGAGGGCACATCCGTAGGGAGAATGGGGGCAAGGGCAGGCCAGACAGCAGGCCTGTCAACATGAACTTCAGATGTACTTCCTGTTGACCGGCCAGAGGTCGTGGGGAGTCCACTCCAGAAATCAGACTGTGACCTGGAATAGGGACAGATTACATAATTGATCTAACACCATATCAAATGAAACAACAAGCTCTTTAAGGCCAAATGAGAGAAGGTGACAATTAAATCCAGTTCATGAAAGACCAGGTTTGCTTTGCTCATTTGAAATGAAAGGATCTGATCTACTATTCGGTCATATTCACATAACCACACAAACCATTTACTGAAACTAAACTAAATAATTCAGCAATCTTAATGGTATGGAGCACAGCAGGTGTTCCAGAAGTAAAAATATAATTGCTGGGTTTGACAAACTTTGCAAGGTTCACACAATCATGTCTTGATACAGGACTGCAAGAACCTTAAATATCCTGGCTTGTTTTTGCCAGATATTCCTCAAGCACAACTGATATAGTTTACATATGTAATATTTAGTTCAGTTTCTGTTTCCATTGCAATTTACTTTTTGTTTGCATTTCCTTTTTTGTTTGAGTTTGCTCCTATGGTTTTTAATTTTTAATTGTTAATTGATTGTGTTCACCTGTCTCTTGTTAATTTACACCATTATCCTGTGTATATATTGCCCTCAGTTTGTTCAATAGTACTTTTTTTTGGGGTTGAATTATTTTCATTTGGCGCTTTTCCACTGCATGGTACGGCTCGGCATGGCACGTCTCGGCTCAGTTTGCGTTTCCACTGAAGTTAAATATCGCTTTAGAGTGGGCGTGATTATAGACATGTCGTTATAGTTGCACCGCTGTAGTGCCGAAATATGCACCCTGCCAGATTATGCACCCCCTAAGTATTGGTAGGTTTAGGAGTAGGTGTGGGGTTGGGATTAGGCAATCAGATAGCGACTTCAACGAGGGGGTGCATAATCTGGCAGGGGTGCAGAATTCGGCACAACACCGCCTCTACTGCCGTGCTGAGCGACCTCCTGAAAATCTTTTTTATTCCACATCGTCCCATCAAGCTCTCGCTGGATCCGCTCCTCGGCTATCAATGACAGGAACGTCTGTACTTACTCAACAGACCATGAAACAGCCATTATTTTGTTGTTTAAAAAAAGGTGCACTCGTTCGAAACTGTTGTGTTAGTTAAAAAAAAAAGTTGTGTTCGATCCTCGCTGGCTGTGCTGATTCAATCTAGCCAGTCTAGTGTCTCGTGTCGCAAGTTCAATGACACAGGTAGTGCCGATTCTCTCTGGAAAATCAGTGATCAGCAGGGTTTACACGTCACATTTTGACAACGGTACGGCTCGCTTGGAACCTCAGCCGAGGTGTTACTGAAAAAAGTACCACGTACCAGGTACTGTACACAGTGGAAAACCCCCCAAAAGTGAGCCGTGCCGTGCCGTGCCATGCCGTACCGTACCATGGAGTGGAAAAGCGCCATTTGTTTCTGTCAAGAATAAATATTAAAAAAAGATTTGAAAAAATTGTTTGCTTGTGCTCAAATGTGCTTGATTCATAATATTGGTTAGGGTATAGGTATAGGTATAAAATTAGTTGTTAACGGGATGATCCACAACTGGACAGTACTCTATATATATATATATATATATATATATATATATGAAGAGTTAATTTGCAAAAACCGATAAAGGCCACTTTTTAAAAAAAATTGCTGATTGCCGTGCATTATTCTCCACATATAGCGCGATCTGAACCCTAAACCCTTTTTTGCCGGTTTTGTCCAATTTCAAGGCGTCGCGAGTTCACGTTTTATTACAGAAGCCGACAAGCGCCCTTGTTGTTTTTGAACAGAAGCCGATAAGTCCATTTTAGCGAATCAGCGCGCTGTATTCAGGTCAGGTGACAAGGCTACTTTCACTTTGAAAAGACGTTCTAGCTGAGAGGAGTTTCGTCAAAGCTGACTAAGGCCCCGTCCACACGGATCCGGCGTTTTGGGAGAGTGAAACCGATAATATTTGAAACCGGGTCCCAGAGTGGATAAATCTGAAAACGCCGCCCTTGTGTTTTCGTGTGGACAGCGAATCCGAATATTTTCTGAAACGAAGACGTCATCAGCCCACGTCTCGCCCCTAATCAGACACAGCTACGTCACGTAACAGCAACAAAAACATGAACAAACACTGAACGATTGTCTTTATTAACTAACATTAACACAGATTAATAAATGTATTGTTCCATGTTCGTTTGTATAC